GAAAATAAGCAACAGCCAAAACAGAAAAAGAAACTGGGAGGACAAGCTCCAGCTGCTTTCGACTGGAAATGTTGTAACGCCTCGTTTGCCATTATCCCAGAACACGAGATGGTGTATAGTCGTACCCTATAACTAAGATAGATTTGGATGCCGTTAGACCTATTCTTCTGCCTTCCCTGGGTTGTGGGTCATGCCTAAGCAATTTTCGAATTATACAACGCGTTTCGGTGGGTTTTGCTTAGCCCGATTCGGAGATCTTCCAACTCGTCTTTCACTCTCTTGTTAGCCAAACAGCCGGCGGCCAAAAAGCACAACAATTCCCCATTGTTCTCCCGGTGGAGGAGAAGGAGAACTAAATGGGTCACTCAGACGGTTAGGGTAGATCACACTAAATCTGAATCTGAATCTGAAGCTGCTCCAGGCTATTAGCAGCAGTTAAGCACAGAAAGAAATGGCATTGTTTTTGGAACATAAACAAGGTGATTCTCGGCAATGCGAGGCTTAGAGTTCAAACTTCAAAGAGTAAAAATAATTTAAGTTTTACAATCTCCTAATTATGATAAGATTTTTCCTGATTTTCGTTATCTATTTCTCTCTGTGTGTCGCGGGGATTCTCCCAATTTGTGAATTGATTTTTTCCATCTACTCACCGCCACTTCGTTTCTTCTCGGCCAGCGAAGATTTCTGTTTGCGTGGCATGCGAAAGGAGTTCCAGAGAAAGGAGCTCGATGGAGTCGAGGATGTCAGCGAGGACTTGATGTTGATGGACTTTTTGGTGTAAGAGCGGAATATGTCCAGGTCGCTGCTGCCGGAGGAGGAGGCTGGGGAAGTCATGGATTTGGCTGTAGTGGTGGGTATCCGTGATGTTTTGGCCGTGTTGTTGTTGTTCTGTGTGCTGCTGTTGTTGTTGAGCAGCTTCTTGATGCCACCACCGCCATCGATTCCCTCTCCCTTGGCACCTCCGCCACTGACAGCACCTCCTCCTCCTCCAACAGATCCGATTCCCGAATAGATTTTGCCATACTTCACTTCTGGCGGATGATGATACTCCTTGTAGCCGTACTTTTTGGCCTGGACATTTTTGTGATTTTTCAACATCTGCTGGAACTCTTTCCAATCCGCAACCGATGGCAATGAGTACGTGGACGTGGACGCGTCCTTGTTGGCATTCAGACTTTGCGAGGAGCCGTACAAAAGTGACACAAACTCGTTGAGTCCCATTTTCTCGAGCATGCGCCCTTGGCTCTCAATGGCTCTCAAACTGGGCGGCTCTTACACTCTGTTATACTTGCTATATGTTATAAACCACTGAACACGTACACTGCGCGAATAACACACACACGTCTGGCGGTTTCAGAGTTCAGCGCGCAACTAACCGCGGATCCGCGAACGACCAACGAAATGGGGGGATCGCTCTCTGTCGGCGCCAACGTAGCCGCTGCCTCGCTTGCCGGCTTACGATTCCAATCCCAACTAAAATCCAACTCCGCTTCGGTCTTAGCTTGCAGCGACCAAACACACACAGCTTAGGTTAGCCACCAATTCAGCAGATTACATATGGTTAAGTCCTAAAATCGGATATGTCCAGTCTTGGAGGAATAAAACTAAACTGCGCACATTTGGCGAATTATAGAATTGGAATTTTGACAACGCTATGAAACGAGAGAATCGGATAGCCTGACCTACGTAAATTCCCTTAGTTACATTTTCTTCTAATGACAGAATATCAAACACAAAGGGCCATTGATTGATTCGCCCAATCGAAAGTTGCCTTCCCCCTCCTTTCACTCGGAGTTACCAGCCGCACTTCGTCTCGTCTCAGCTTCAGTTATTGTTGAGGGGAATGTAATTATAATATTTTTTACTTTTTCAAAATTGTCGCCATGACTTTCGCGTCACAGTTGGCCAACAGCAAAAGTAGTCTTTCGACTGACTGCCATATCACATGTGAGTGTATGCAAAATACATGGAAAAACACTATAAAAAACGAGGAGAAAACTTCAAAGTGGTTAGATGGAAAGATGGTAAGAACTCCGCGCTGAGCGGGCACAGCTCATTTAGAGCCACGCTCCAGTTAGAAGCTCGAGGGCTATAAACTTGATCAGGTCTGAAGAGATTCAGCTGCCGTAATTATGGCCGGGCAAGAAAGCATTTCTATTGAATAGAATTGGCCAAAACACAGTCTTGACCTGATTCGGCTAAATAATCCAACCCAAAAACCCCCTTAAAAAACACAATCATGGCGTGTGCCGGATATTGCGAATGTAATCCAAAAACCGAAAGTTTCAGATTAATAGAAATTCGGGGTGGTATTACGTAAGACCCGAAACGATTGTTGAATCGAAGAAAGCCAACTCTCATTGCAGAGCTTGCGAAGTTTAAAATGTATACGCCCATAAATATCCCGATAGAAATTTATGCATAACTACCATCAAACGCAGTTCTCACGCCAAAAAAATATATATTATTCAAAGGCGGAATTACCCAAGCCCTAAGAGCTGTTGGCTCTCAACAATTTATGCAATATTTGGCTTCGGTTTTAGCCAACTTTTGTGTGCAAATTATAAAGCCCGCAAATCAGGCAGAAGCAGTCCCCAGCCTCTTGCATAAATTTGTCATGCGAATTAAACTTGTGAAACGTCTGCTGACAGTTCAATACCCATTTTCTGTGGGTTAAAGTTTGGAAAAGGAAAACCTTTTTACTGTTAGTGCTTTCGGTCTAATGGCAATATTTTAATTACTGAATTCCCTGGCTGGCGACTTCAGCGACCACCAATGGAGCAATCTCGTAAAAGAGCCAAGCTATTTACTTCTTACAAATCTTTCGGCTTACCAAAGCGGCCCATGTGTGGGCTTGAAATGAATTGCAAATTGTTATGGAAACGCTAACGTACTCAATACCCAGAGTAGTAATAAGCCAAGGCATATACTTTTTGCATTGGTTACGCATGGCAGAAACCCGCTGAAGAAAAGTAAAAGTATTTCCAAACAAAAGCCACGAAAAAACAGCAACGCAAAAATACTGGAAAGGTGCGTGTGGCGTGTTGGTGTGTTTGATTTCTTGAAGAGGGGCGGCTGGCTGGCCATTAACTCTTTTCCTTGCCAATGTACATCAGCGATTTGCAATTGCAAAATGCAAAACAGTTAAGAGATTACGATGATAGTCTCTTTGCCGAAGTGTGCCATCGATGGGGAAAAACGCTTGACAATTAATCGGGTAAAAGCGTGGAAAATAGCCATAAAGAAAAGCCCACGATAGCGACGACAACGCTGAAATCAATGAACTTGATGTGTGTGGGCCATAAATTAGAGTGAAAACAAGCAGTCAGATAATGGGCTGCCTTTTGGCCACACAAAGTCTGAGACCACACGCCCAAAAAGAGTTGGCTTTCAGTTTTAAACTTATTTTATACTCTTTAGAAATAAAGTATTATGATAAAAAGATACTCTTAGTTAGATAGATCTAAACTGTAAATAAGAAACTAGTTTTGCATTTCAGGTTTCCACTTAAGAAGTACCTAAGGAAGAGCATTCACATGCCTTCGCTATAAAATCCACAACTTTCCCAATGTCTATTTCACATGCGGGCCACAATCACGCACAATCAAAACTAAATGACAACTTAATTGATCACTCCCCCAAAGTGGATGGTGTGAAAGCAATAAATAAAATTCGACAAAACACAGTCGAGCTCAGCGCCATAAAAAGTGTGGGTGAAAACTGATTGGTCGGAGCTCTGGCTGTAGCTAATATTCCCACAGAAAGGGGCGGCTAGGGGAAAGCCAGGGCAGGGGGCAGGCAGGGGCAGAGTCGCATTAAAACATTTAACAAACAATTTAACTTCAAATAAGCCAAAACGATGCAGTGGCTCGCGAGTGCGGATGACGGGTGAAGGGTGTTTGGGGGGTCAGTGGAGCGTACACCAACGCCCAGCATGAAAAACAAGAACAACAAGCGCAACACTCAACCCGCTGAACATCAAAGCGAATTTCGTTAGAGGGGCAAGTGAACGCGAAGCGGCATAAACAAGTTGTGACATTTGTGAGCAGAACGAGGGGGGAGGGAATTCTCTTAGTGTGTGGGGGCCATAATGTAGAACCACCTGGCAAGTGGGGGTCATGCACAACATTATGTAAGCACTACACACACCAGTATATTATGTATGTGCGAAACTTAACTGGCAAATTCACTGGCTTACTCAACGGCTGAACGGGGTGAAGATAAAGACCAAAATTGATAGGTGTGGAAAGTCAGGGAGTTCTGCTACTGAGTCATTGAATCGAATGGCCAAACTTGGAAGGTAAAAATCGGTAGACTTTATAGACCCTACTGATATATCTTTGCGATTCTACAAATACCTAACAAAATAGTCCCTCCAGTACAGTAATCACACACTTAGAAGACCGAATTAGTTAAACAAGTCGTATAGACGGAATCCCATAAAGATAATCACCGCCTATTAGTGGCAATCTGCCCAACCCTAATGCAAGCCAACTTTATATATTTATAAGCGAACGCCGAACCCACAGCAAAGTGTTAGCTTTGCCATTGAAATTGTTTAGAGGCGTGTGCTACGCATTTGTCACCAGAAAAGGTGGCAAGTTGGAACTATGTGTGGCACAGGCTCAGTCCCTAAGCCCCAAATGGCTAATTAGCTGTCTTAATATTAATTACAAAAGTTGCCCAACTCTTAAGCCAAACAAAAAACTGTCCCCGGGAGAGCATTTTGCAATGGTTAGCCAACTTCATTCATCGACCGTTGTGGCATTGTAACTAATTTTTGGCCAGACAAAAACTTTGACGGGACGTTCAGATAGAAATTAATTTGATTTGAAGTAAACTTGGATTTTGTATGCTTTCACTTCATGTCTTTCGATTGACCAAAAGGGAAATAGGAAATAAATAATGGGGTTACCATCAATTTGAAGTGCCCCAGTTTCGGTTTCCCTTCGCGCCCGTAATTAACTTGTTCGAAATTTGCTCTTTTTTTTGACACTTACCCTCCGAAACACCGACAGTTGAGGGGCTTTTAATAATCGTCGACTTAAGTTTGTGCGATTGCTGTTGCTTGTTTGTTGCGGCTGATTTGGTGGCCACTCCCTTGATGGGTGTTGTAATGCCACCAGGGCTTCCCAAAGTGCCATTTAAGCGTTTATCTGGAATGATAAGAGTTGGTTCGTGAATATCAGGTATTATTTCCAGTGAAAATAAAAAATCGCGGCATACTTTCAGGCAGCTGACAAAAAAGGGCGACTGGACTCACATCGTACATCGTCGTTCTCATCATTTTCATTATATTGACTTTCATTATTTAATGAATTTTTACTGCCAAAATGTTTGCGAAAAAACCGACGCAACCCCATTTTTTGTCTTGTCTTTAGTTCTTTTACTCCGACAGCATCCCTCGTACTCGAAGTTTAATAAAAAGAATAAAAACTTGGTGCCTCAGAAATAGGAAAGTGGCTAAGATTTATGAAGTTTTACATTTAATAAATATTTTGATTTTGTTTATTAAAATCTGAATGTCTTCATATGGCCTGCTACGCCCAATAATTATGATAAAAAAATCCATCTTTCCGGCTATCAATGCACTTGAGCGACCAAATGGCAGGGATCGCAGAAAAGGCTAAAATCTGAATACGAAACCGCGTCTGAATTCAGCAAAAGAAATAACTATCCCGAGTCGCTGGCCGCTGGCCGCCCAGCATGTCATAATTTGACCAAATTAATGAAATCAAAAGAAAACCTGTTTGCATTTCCAGCCTGCAACGTTCATTCGTTTATTTGCTGCAGCACAAGGTGCAAAACAGGGAAAGAATGCCCAAAACAGAAACACCTGTTTTCGAGCAGCACCAAAAAGACAAGTGCGTGTGGCAAGCAGTTACAGCAAGCAGTGATTGTGTTGCTAGAAGACAGCCTTGTAAGTCTTGTAAGATTTTAAGCTACGATATTTTTTTAAATTTATTTTTAGCATCCGAGAAAATATGCAAAAATCATAAGAAAACCATTTAATTTGTTATGCTATTATGATTTAACTAAGCAAGCAGTTTAGCTAACGAATATGTTGCTGTAGAGTATCAAAGCAGTTTACAAATTCCAACATGTTTCTAAAGATCTCTCTTATAAACATTCATGGCTTTTCTCAACATGTTGCTAAAGATCTCTCTTGTAAACATTCATGGCTTTTGCTCTCTTAAAAATAACTCTTTCCTTTCTAGAGTCTGCTCTTTGCTCTTGCAAGCGATACAGGTTTCCTTGAATAATTAGCATAGTTTGCTGCTTTTGTTTTCTACAACGGCTAGTACTGACCACCGCTGAACTCACGGCCATTGGGGAACCCAAGCCCAAACCCGAACCCCTGTCTCCCAGAGCATTGTCTTTATAGTTCTCCCGCTCGTGCTGAAATCTTTTTAGCCCGGTTGTCACCGCTTCGATTTCAATGCTAACCGCAAAAACAAAAAGGCAAAAGGAGAAAAAAGAAAAAAAAAGAAAAACAAACCAGCGCCAGAAGCCATAAATGGCTAGTACAAGTCTAGGCGGCAAAAAACCGGGCAAGTACAAACAATGGAAATGTGCAGGCCGAAAAAAGAGTTTACAATGCCACGAATGTCAATGTCAGACGCGGGTTCTGAACTTTATTGGAGCCACTAGCAGCAGCAGCGGCTTTAGCACAACCACCACCCATTGAGAGCTCCAGAAGTGCCGTCTTTTAATCGGTAAAGCCATGTACTGCCCAGGCCCGTAACCGGATTCACTTCAACACTCTTTGGGTTCAGGTGCGTGGGCAGCCAATCTGAACGATACAAAGAGGTGCGAAAGTGCCGACGACTCAATCGATCTTGCGCAATTATGCCAATAATCATTTCGGTGTTTTCTTTCTGGCCAATCATCAGCAGACGTGGGTTAAGCAGAGTATCAGGTGTGGGCTTAAAACCATCACGTTTGCCCCACACCGTTGTCCAGTGAATACTGAATAGCAGCCAAGCGATTGTAGGCTATCCAATTAGCTGGAAATGCTAACCAAAATGGGTGTGCTATTAGAACTTATCAGTAGGGATAGTAAAGGAATTTAAGGCACGTCTTGAATGATCAGCCCAAGAGGATTTCCCAGCCTATGATCTCGTTTAAACACCTCCCTCTTGATTAATCTCTTTGGGCATTAATTGCACGAAATTGCATGTTGGCTAAATAAATCTTAATTAGTACAAGAAATTCCAGCTGAGAGCGTGAGCCAAGCACAAACAAAGCTCGTTTTCCACCTCTCGATATGCAAAACACGTTTCGCCGTCGATTTTCATGCTTTTCTTTGGACCAACTCAATGTGAAAATGGCGCGATAAGCATGTGCTCTGTGCCTTGCCTGGACAATGCGATCACCGCGATCGGGGTAAAAGTAATTTTAAATTAGACTCTTTCCCCAGTTACTTTATAAATAGAATGCCAGGCGAGGAATTCAGTGGCGGAGGAGGAGGAGGAGGAGGCATTCTCTTAGCAACTTCCCCAGACCTGCGACATTTCGAGCAATTTAGCAACATCTCGGCAGGCGAACACAATGAGTTTCCCTATTAAGGCTAATTTATGCAGCCTGCAAGCATTTGCATGACCCGGGCACGACCGTAAACAAAATAATGGAACCCGCACAAAGCCAGGCAAATGCGAAAAAACGCAAAAAATAAAGACAAAAGTCCGGAATCCAATCTGCCACTGATTCTCCTAAAAAGTTTCCCTAAATAGTTCTTGAGATTTAGTGTTCTGAAACAACTTAAGCAGTTCTATAATTTATTGGGTTGCAGTTCAACATAACTTAAGGAAATTATCGGGTCATCGAAACTCTACACAAACTGAATGACTACACAAAAAGATAATGGATGATCGCCTTTCGAAATTCCTTAATGAATCATCTGCCAAAAATGATTTAATTAACATGTTGCAGGCATATCTGTTCAAGGAAATAAATAATGAAACTATTTTTTGAGCATTCATGGCATCTATCTTTATCTTTGCAACAAATGAGGCTCCCCTTAGCATCTCACAGAAATCAATGAAGCAATCAGTAACTTTAGGCATTTTTCCGCAGAATCAATTACCACACTCACTCCCCTCAATGGGGGTCTGATGATGACTCACAAGGAGTGAGTCAACGTGGCCGAATTTGCCCAGCACATATGGCACTAAGTTGGCCAGGAGTTTGGGGCAAGCTGCGAGGAGCCTGTAGACAAAATGTCACCTCAGCAGCTGTTGCTGAATGGCAGCTGGCACAGATTTTTCCCAGTTTTCCTCCCAGCCAACTGTGGGAATGGAGCACTGAATGGGTTTCCCTCTAACTGGAAGCTGGAAACACGCCCTCGATGGAAATACGAGGTGTGTTCAAAAAGTAAGGTGACTCTTCAAATTTCGCGAATTTCAAATTTTTCGATTATCGAAACCTTTTAGAAGTTATACGAGGTGTGTTCAAAAAGTAAGGTGACTTTTCAAATTTCAAATTTTTCAAATTTTTCGATTATCTTCAGTTTTGGGAACAAGAAAAAGTCACATGGGGCCAAATCCGGTGAATATGGTGGCTGAGGCATTATTGTGGTGTTGTTTTTGGCCAAAAAATCCAAATCCTTTGATCCATATTTTTCGATAGCAAAAAATCGCCGAGCTCGCAAAATAACTTGTAACTTTACGCCTCTCACAACCAAACAAAAGAGGATGTTCCATTGAAACTTGGTACAGATGTTAGGGAAGAGTGTACCAATATAACAAAACAAAAAAATCGATAATCGAAAAATTTGAAATTCGCGAAATTTGAAGAGTCACCTTACTTTTTGAACACACCTCGTATAGCGGCTTCATGGCTGGACCGGGCAAGGTACGACACTTTTACGGGTTAGGGAACGGATCGGCCAGGTGGGCAGATTCAGCAATTCATTGAGGGCAACAAGCTGGGCATTTCACCTGAGCGATGATTTCGCATTTAGCCAGGTATAGGTCTTGCCAGGGAAAGGGAGGGGGCGATGTCTGACAATAGTTGACACCTTTCAAGGGGAATTTCCAAGAAGCTGTAAAAGTCTTTTGGGTCTCTAGCACTAAGAAAGATGTTGTCATGGAACTTCTACTTGGAAGTTCGCTTAACTCTAGTTTGGTAACATTTTAAGTTTAAACTTATAAATTTTAAATAAATAATTTTACGATGAAATCGATTAGTTGGCAGCCCGTAAATAAGCCACTGGCTGAGCTATTAAGTTTTTAACATATTTAAAATATTACGAAATTCCGCACTTACTTATGGATGTGGGCGTGGGAGTGGCGGATGATTTGCTGCGCGTCGATTGTCCCTTGGTCGTCTGCTGGGTTTTTGGCGGCGGACCCAGATCGGTTGGCGATATGCTCAGATTGCGCACATCACGCTTTTTGGCAGCTCCTGCAAAGACAAAAGAGAAGAGGCGGAGAGAATGAACAAAGTGGCATGGAAAATGCGGCGTCGTTCCCTACAATCGATATGCGGATGCGTAATTTATGCGCAGACACGTTGCCATGAAACGCAAAGCTTTAAAGTGTCTGCGGTAGGGGGTGAGGTTGGGGTTGGGCTGAGTTATGCACTCGGATTCCCATTTAATAACTCAAAGGCAAAATCACACTTGTTTTCCCCCCAAACAGTGGGGGGAAGAGCTATTTGCATTTTAACGTTTTGTGGATTAAAACAAAGCGTTTCCATAATTGAAGTGTCTTGCCTCCGATGGATGTACGAACACCATCAAAGGGTGGAATCGTATTATGCCAGTGCAGGCATCCATTAGTTCTCGGCGGGAGAGGAGTTCGAGCTCCGCGTCGAATGCGATTTGAAGAGCCTCTGCTTAAGTTTCTTAATTTCTAAAGTGCACTTAAGTTACTCATTAAGGCGTACTAGGCGGTACTTTGAAGCAGATATTCTATCTACTTTGACAAGCAAATCCAGTCAAATTAATATAAAACAAGCACAGCCATGAAGAAGAGTGAGAGTAGACAACTTTCTTCGCTTCTAATGCTGGTTAATCTAATTCTCCACAAGGTAACCATCCATCTGCCACGGCAATCAATCATATTTCATGCCCTGCACTGCACTAATCAACTTCGATTCACGTTTAAGTTAAGGTTCCTTAACGACCCTCCATTGTCGGCCTGGCCATCTTCAATTCCAGTTGTCCAGACTTGGCACTTGTTAGCCACTAGTTGTGGCCACTTTAGGGCCAGGTAATCAGCAGAGCCAGTGGGGCAGATGCATTTCCGACGCGACCACAGAAGCAGCTGCGGCATGCAGCATGGACAACGTAATAAATTTTATTTCAGCTGACGGCTAATTGTGCTGGAAATGGACATGGAAATAAAAGTTGCACGCGCGGCTTAGGTCAGCACAAAATGGAAAACTTTTATCTGCGAAGAGCGTTGCACCGAGTCACGTAATCCTTTTGTGGCATATCGGGGATGATAAGCGTGTTGCAGGCATATACCCGTACAAAGAGCTGTTGGAATTTTAGCTTCAAAGTCCCAAAGGATTAAGTTTTCTGGCGCTAAATGGAAAATGCGAATGGCTGGGATCTACTTTGCGGATTGTTGAGTTTTGAAAGAGCAACTTTAATGCTTAGATCTGTTACCAACGATGATAAACATATTTCCCAAATGGAATTGCTGAGTTAAATACAATTTTATTTAAGGCCAAGTGCCAGCCAAAGGTAGGCAGATCACATCTTGTGAGATAATCTGGCTGATGGTTACACAACTCCTGCTCTGTTTACATTACAAGTTAATGCCCTCGAAGTGGGTTTATCCCATAACTGGAGACTGGAGACTGGAGTCATTAGCATTTAGATATACCCAATCTCAGGCTGAACTCACCTTTGGTGAGGCCTTTGGAGGCCCTCTTGCCAAAGCTGCCGAAGCGTTCCCGCTCGATCATTTGGCTGTGGATATACCGCTCGGAATATGAGCGCGACAGTTTCTCCTTGGAACTGTGGGCCCCCATTTTGAGCTGCTTTTTTTTCTATTTCTGTTTTCTGTATAAATTTCCTTTGATCCACGTAAGAGTTTTCCTGCTCTGATCGATATCACGACTTCGGATTTCACTTTCACAGGCTCTCGACGACTGCTACACCCGCGCACAATCTCCAGACGTCGGCGATTTAATTTGATGTCGCTGACAATTCCCGCTTGAATGCATTTTTCTTTGTTCACTTTTTTATTTGCAAAACTACTTTTGCTCTATGATTGCCGCAAGGTTGACATTTCGAGTTGTCTTTTTTTCAGGTTTTCCCATTTGTTTTCCCTCTGCAGTTGACATTGAATGGATTTATAGTGGTTAGATTTAATTGGCGGCCATTAACCGATTCAATTAGCCGCCTCATTAAACTGACTCCCCCACAAAGCCTCCTTCTTTTTATGCCCCGTTATCCGATTTAATTAAATTATTGTTAATGGCGCCATCCATGGGATGCTCCAATTTTTAATGGCATTTTCCACATTCTCAAAGCCAAAGCATTCCAAGAATCGCATTCTAATAGAAAAGTGGCGTGTAAAATAGTTTGACGATGCCAGCCAACAACCTAGACACAGAAATCCGAAATCAGAAATAGACGAATGCTTTATCGCCCAGACACGAAAACTGTTTTATATTTAATTGAGCGTAAGACTAAAGTGCAGCTAGTCTTCACACCCTTCCAGGGGTTCTATTAACTCGATGGGAACTTTAGTCCTTATGAGCTGCATCTTTGGAGTTAGCAAAACAAAGTTTATATCCAAATCAGTTCCTATTCTTAAAGACCCAGAAAGACTGGCCAACATCTCGGCTAATCCCGTAGAGTATCTAAAGATTTGGCCAGCCAAAAAGTAGTTCACTTTTCGCCGCTGTTTGCTTGGACCAACTGCAGGCTGAATTTCGCAACAAGAATGATAAATGATCTAGAAAATAGAAGACTCTCTGCTGTATGCGACAAAGCGACCCCGATTTGCTGGCTGCGGAAAAGCACAGCAGGTGCATGGCCGCCCAAGAAACGGTTGCAACACAATCCAAATAAATCTTCGAGTGGCGGAAAATGCCTGCCTGCCCCACTGCCCCTCTCTGCTCTCTGTTTGCCCTGACTTCGCACGGCAGTCGCTGACAGGTTTGAATGTCATCATAACTTAACAAAAGCGAGCCAAAATGAAACCCAAACCGAAATGAGCTGACAAATTGCACGCTATGATTTGTGGCAGAGCATTTGAATGTGGAACAGCGGCACAAAAAACCACCGGGTGAGGAAAAGGGGCGGGGTGGAAGCGACACACGTTTCCCAGTGGTTCGAATTAAAAGGGAAATTTATACCAGCACCGTGGTAGAGATATGCGCATTTTTCATTTCTCAAAAGTATCTTGCTGGTTGCTGAATAAATCAAGAAGGATTTTCCAGAAATCTCATAACGATGTTAATTTTGAAGAGCAAAACCAAAGTTACATAACTGCATGGGGGATTGCTTTCCATTTGCTTAGATTACTTTGCAGATCTTTAGGGAAAGTCTTTAACCTTAAACCTTGGTAATAGCAAGTTCTCATCCAATGTCCATCATACCCGTTTCACTTTTTAGATCACTGGGCAGCAATATCCCACAGACCAGGCACAACCTCATTGCTATGAATAGCATCGGCGCCCTCTTTAGACAGTTTAGTCAGCTTGGTGAGTTTAGTCAGGCCTGCAAATGTCAATCCGACCAGGCCAACTATAATTAGCCCAGCGAATGCAGCACAGAAAGGTGTCAAATGTTCGGGGGAATTCGAGTGCCATTCGATTTTATTGTCGGCTCCAAATTTAGTCGATTGGAAAACTTTGGGGAGCATAATTCACATGACTTGGCACATCATTCAATACCAAATGTCACATGTCTCATGCCTCAAATGCCGGAAGTTTTCCACCACAAAAACAAATGCGAAGCGGAAGTTGTGGGATAGTCCTCAAGGGCAACTCTCAGCTGTATTTGTCGCAGCTGCCTTTGATTTTCATTTCATTTTATTCCCTGCGAATGGCAGCTGATGAGCCCGATCGCTGCGGGCCCCGTTTAATTTAATATGCAAAAATTGAATATGACTTTCAATTAAAAGTTGGCCGTTGCCGTTGCCGTGGTCGTGTGGGCGTTTTAAACATTTTTCATTGGCAAGCTTTTCCTTTTCTCCTCGGGCTGTTAAAAACCGTCGGAAGCTGCAAAAGCAATTAATCGAGCTCGGAGTTGAAGGCGTTCGGAAGGAACTTTCCAGCCAGGACAACATAGAGGCGGAGGTGGGCATAAATCTGCATAATTTAACCGAGACAAGTGCAGCAAAAAGAGGAAAGTTACAACGAAATAGCTGAGCTAAATTTCAGGCTAATAGCACTCTCTCTTAATGCTCTAGAATTTCTATAAAATTTTCAATATTTGGTAGATCTGCGTAGATAGTTTCCCTTTGATGACCAACTTTCGTTTAAACATAAAAACGAAAAACCAAATTTATGGCACTCCAGTGATCCATTTAGCCCCGACAACGCTTTATTCCATGAGACATAAAAAACGTGAAAGAGATTTAATACAGCCTTTCAGCCTCCCCCACTAACGGACATAAAAAATATAGCTCCCGATATTACGACTGACCATTCCAGTTCGATCTGTGCAGCGACTATCGTAAACCACGGGTTCGTTGTCCCCGAAGAGAGCCTTTATGGGGGGACTCCCGGGTTCGGGCAATAAAAATTAACAATTACCAGAGCTTTTTTCGTTTTGTTAATGTGGCATGCATAAATATAAAATGTGTGCAGCCATTAAAAAATCACCAACAGTTGCAAATGCAAAACGGGAAAACGGCAAAAGGAAACTCCACCCATGGCGGAGTCTGCGAGCGGGACTGACCGCTGGGTCCCCCGCCGATCCGATATAAACAATCGTTAAACCGACAGCCAGCGGCGGAAAACTGCAACGGCTGTGTATAATTAAAAGCTGCAGCCGGCAAACATGCTCGTAAACCTATATTCTGAGTTGGCCAAATTATGTCATTGAAATGTTTATTTTCCTGGCTTTTCGCTCCAGTAAATTGAGCAAAAAGGGCGCTGGGCCAAAAGATAAATATAGAAGATGACATAGAATGGGTTCTAAGAGCGAGTGCCTTTGATGCCCTGTAAGCAGTAAGGGGATCATTAGGGCATATGGGAACTATAGCCATAAAGATAATCGAATGATGAGTCACAAAGAGGTAAGAGCTTGGAAACTGAAACCACTTAGAATGGGGTTAACATTCCCTAAACGGTTTTAGAAAGCTGAAAGAGCAGATTGGAGCTAATTGGAAAGTTCGAAGTTCTTAAGAGAGTCATTTTAGTAATGATTATTAGTTTGTTTCTAGAGAGTATCCAGCATTTATCCAAATAAAATATTCAAATGTAGAACCTAATTA